TTAATCGATTATCTGAGCAATTAATCGATTAACAACCCTGTTAATCGATTAACAGGGGCTTTAATCGATTATTCCAGAGAGCTAATACAGAAAATGGTTTTTCTCTCTGTAATAATCGATTATCCTGCCATTTAATTGATTAATTCAGTATGTTTTTTATAAAAATGAGTTTTTAGAACCTTTAAATAGTATACTATGTGCTGGCTATCTTAGACTCTAATATTACAGACTACAAATCATAAAAACAGAGTTATCACATAACATTACAAGTCTTCAAATTTTTAAGTCCTTTGTTCTTGAATCATCATCAAAATATACAAGTTTCATAACCATGTATGTTAAACATTCATATTCTTGTATGTTTCAACATGAACATTTCCTATTATTCCATCCATGTCCTAAAATGACTATTTTACCCTTGAACATTTCCAATTATTCCATCCATATCCTGAAAATGACTATTTTACCCTTAAACATTTCCTATTATTCCATCCATGTCTTAAAATCACTATTAAATTACCATTATACCCTTAATCTTTTTCAAAATTCTATTTATGTCCCTAAGATGTGAAATTACTCTTTTGCCCTTGATCTTTTTAAAAAATTCTCACCTTGTCCCTTTCTTCTTCCTCACTTCCAGTATATCATTTCCAAAATTCCAGATTCAAATTTTCTAGTTTCAAACAACCAAACTAGTTCCAAATCCAAATTAAACCCTAAATATATTCAATTTAAGTTAAAAACAATAATTTTAATATATAATTTATCCTTAATTTCAAAAATTAATCTTTTTCTAAAATTCCCACCATATTCCTTTTCTTCAATCTTTGCCCAGTAACCAAATTCAATTTTTCTAGATTTCAAATTCTCATGTATCAATCAATCAAACTAATTCCAAACTCAAATTAAACATGAAACCTATCCTATTTGATTCAAAAACAACAATTTTACCATGTAATTCATTCTTAATTTCAAGAATTTCATCAACATTTCAAACTTTGCAAAACAGGAAGTAGTTATCAATTATCTTCAAAATCAGACATTCGTATGATAAAATTAAACATTTAACCCATACCTAATTCCTTCAAAATCTTTTTACTCTCCTCCTTTCCTCCTTTCTCTCTTATTTTTCTTCTCAATTTGGTGCCTCTCTCTTATTCTCCAAATTGTCCATGGCTTTTGGTGTTGGAGGGGTTTTTTGATTTTGCATGATTTTCCTACACGGTTTCTTCTATTTATATACCTATCCACCGACTTAATTTCTTCTCCAAGTTTCTTCACCGCCTTAATTTCAATTCAATTCTTTACCGCCTTAATTCAAATGTATTAAGGCCACTGGTACATCTCCGACCTTCTCTTTTTCTCTTTTCGTTAATATTATTATTATTATTATTATTATTATTATTATTATTATTATTATTATTTATTTAATTTTTTTTAATATATCATTTCTTCTCATAAAAAGTTTACATAATATTTATATAATAATTTGTAAGAACTTAAGTAAATAATTAATTACAAAAATTGGGATGTTACACTTACAAGCAACAACTTCACCCGCTCGACAAAGCCTTGGATGAAGCACTCTTGTTAAGCTCATGCTAAAGACTTACGGAGGAACGAAACCCCTTTACCATGGCTCGACAAAGTTGTCTAGGTAAAGAAATCATTCTGGATTTACGGCTATCAAAGAACTCATATTGTTTTCTCACATATATACACACATATGCATACAACATCTCATCGCAGATCAAACATACCTAAACTCATCATGTAATTACATCATATCACAATTCAAGTATTTTTTTTCCTTATTACATTTAAGGGTTTTAACATATAACTCCCACAAATTCTGCACCAAAATAATATAAACAATAGCAACAATAAAATAAAACAGCAACAGAGTTACATGAAATGAAAACAGGAATAACATCATTTTGAAGATTCCACCACCCACCACCAGGGCAGTAGTCAAAGATATATTTTTATAAAATAAAATAATGGTCATACAATTACGAAATTAAATATAATTAACATATACATACAGTCACGACTACGATAAAAATTTCATCATAAAACACTTCAATCTCAATTTTATATGATTTTTTGAAGTTGTTGGGCGGACATAACAAATTTGTTTCCACTACTAGAAAACTAGTTTTTTTTCTGCCAATTTTCTTGTAAAAAATTGTTTAAATTTACAGAAAACTTATTTCTTGCTATTTTTATAAAAACTTTGCAAAAATATTCCCATGAAAAATAAGAATTTTTAGTAGTGTTCGCCCAACTCAAAACCTAATCACTTCCAAGATTTTTCAAGGAAACACTACTTGTTAGAAATTTTTGAAATAAATCACACACGAACTAGACATATGAAGGAATATTTAACCAAAATTTCAGAATTAAAAACCAAGTAGATATTTTGATATAATTTCCTAAAGATTCTGTTTACGTACAGATTTTTCCAACAACACCTCTCAACACATTTTTCATCATCTTCCTCTAGAAAAATCCAATTTAAGTGATTTTTATGGCTAACTCTAGGTTTTGGTATCCAAGGAATCTATTTATAAACTCTAAAATGTGAAAGGAGTATCGTAGAGTATCCAAAATTCACTTGAACAACCATACGAAATTTTTATCTAATATTCTTGTTTGGTTCCAATTCATGTAGAAATGAGATAAATGATGGTTTAACCTAAGATTGATGTCAAGAAGATTCTCCTTACAATTCCATGTTGGCAACTCAAGAAATCAACCGGTTTAAAAAAAAATAACAAACAAGTTTTGACACCCTTTACCTAGATATTATTGCCGCAAGATCACTTGGCTTGTCTTTACCGAGACTATATAAATAAACAATTTAAATTAAAAATTATATATTATTATTATTATTCTGATCCAAGTCCTTCCTCTCTCAATTTCCAGCCCACTTACTCTCTTAATTAATTTGGTGTCTATGTATAGATTTAATGTATATGTCTTAACTGTTCACCTCCCAAGGTACACCACACAATTTACGAAAAAAATATACATTATTTCCTCCTTTTTACTCTAGTCAGGATTTGAACTCACAAATCCCAAGACTCAAGCATTACTCTAAACCATATCAGTCATCATATGTTTTTTCTCAATCCACACACATAGTAAAAATTACAATGTACCCACACACACAATGCATACAAGAAAACAACCATCAACCAATCATTTCTAAACGTGGCAATTTAAAAGTTGTTAAGTCCCTAAGCATACTCGACGTTCAGTGCACACACATGAGTATTTTCTAAACAATTATAAAATAATAGAAAAATTATAATTATTCTAATTCACATACAAGAATCAAACCTATGACCCCCAAATCTCATGACAAGGATCTAACCAAATGAACCACTCTTCATCACTACAATATTATTAAATTCTTAATTTAATTACTTCCCTTACTTCCAATTTCTACCTTAAAATATATAATTATTTTCTTGGGTCTTACAAGTCATCACTTGTATAAGGCCAAATTAGTCTCACATCTCCTAGATGACTGAGTGAATGAGAGGGGAAAAACTATATATATGACTCCTTGTGTAGCTTTTTGAAGCACATTTAATTATGAAGTCAAAACTTGGTATGGAACTTGCATATTTTGTTTGTACCCCGAATTGACTTATCTTCAAGTGTCTTTGGAGATTTCTTTCTCCTAACCAGGAACCTTCCTTAGAGAAGTTAGTGTCAAGTTTCTCTAGAAACTTAGGAAAGAAATTTGGTTCACCTTGGATGCTCAAGGGGTAAGGTTTTCGATGTCATCCATGGTAGAAGGAGGAAGAATATTTTCGTTATTTTATTTTCAAAATTTATTGTTGTATTTAAAATATTTGACAAAATGCTTGAGAGAAATATGACTACATAATTTTTTTTTAACACAAGACGTTTTATAAGTTAAGAACTGATATAATAAGTACCTACTATGTTGGTTATTTAACAACCGACATAGAAAATATAACTTTCTATGTCGCCTGGATTGATGTCAATTGTAGAATCGACATAAAAAGTCTCAAATAACCATCATAAAAAATGTGATATAAATATAAATATTTCAGAATAAATAAAAAAGAATGATATGCCTAACCAAAAAAAATATATCAATAAAGTATTAAAAGTTCAAGATGGAAAAATGCTCAACATTGCTCGTTCCAATTCAGAAAGAAGACATGTTTAATCTCATTCAATGTCCTAAGAATGATTTGGAACGAAAACAAATGAAGCAATTCCATATGCATCTATTGTTGGGAGTATTATGTATGCTTTGACTTGTACTTGACAAGACATAAGATTTTTATCTAGAATGATAGGAAGATATCCAAGTAATTCAGAATGGAACATCGGAAAGTTACGAAGAAAGTTCCAAGATACTTATAAAGAATAAAGGATCACATACTTACGTATATGAGGTTTGATCATTTTAGGTGATTACATATTCGAACTTTGATTTTGTTGGAAGTATGGATACAAGAAAATCCACTCTTGACTATGTATTTATTTTAGTCGAATGAGTAATATCCTGGAAAAGTAAATACAATATTTTGTTGCATCTACAATGAAAGTTGAATTTGTAGAGCATGTTTTGAGGCTACAATTTAGGTTAATTGACTATGATACTTTATTTCAAGGCTTCAAATTATCAATAATATGGTCAGGTTGCTAAAATGTATTATGATAACTTCAAATTAGTGTTTTTCTCTAAAAATGACAAGTACTTTAAAGGTTCTAAGCATATGTAGTTGAAGTACTTTGGCCTGGAGGAAGTTTAGAAACAAGGAGTGTTAACAAAATATATTAGCATAAATCTTACTATAGTGGACCATTTAATAAAGGGATTATCGTTCAAAATATTTATTGAATATGTTGAAAATATTGGTGTAATTATTAAAAATGATTGTTGAGTATTATATATGTTTATTATATATTAGACAATTGACACTTTTATTTCCACTATAATATGTTTCTAATTACTTGTTATAATTATGTTATAGTAATTATGTTGCATGCATAATTACTTTTATAATATGTTTCTAATTACTTTTACCTCAAATATTGCATGCATAATTTTGTTATATTAATGTAAAATAGGTATCATCTTAAATAACTATATTATGTACCAATTATGAGCTCGTATTTATGTTTATATTGTGAACAAGTTTAATTTGTAGTACATGGAAGGGATTATGTCAATTGAGTGATGTATAACTGTTATGACTCAAATTAATTCTTATTCATATAAATTATGATGTAGCTAAATTAAAGAATGATTTAGTCATTTAATGTACATTATATTTATTTTATTTATTTATCTATAATGCAAACAATGTCACATGAGATAAGTGGAAGAGTGTAAGCTTTATGTCTTATATGATAAGTATATGATCCACTTGTTAATACATAGATAAATAAATAAATAATAAATTACTAACTGGTAAATAGGTAAAATAGAAATAGTTTATGATGACAACGATGATTTGCAGGGAATACCAATTTTAAAAGAGATACATCCACATACATATAATAAGGTCTAAACGTATATGTTGTCTATCTATTATTTATAATGAAGAAAGATGAAATGTAGAATGAAAATCAAGAGAATAAAGTTTTGTTTTTATGTTGTCTAAATAATTTACTTAAAGTAGTACTCAAAACCATTTAAGAGCATTTGCATTATGGAGAAAAATACATTTTTTTTCTCATTTTAACATGTGAGAATTATTAATTTTAAAATTCTATTTGAATTTTATATTTTATGAAATTGTTAAAAAATAATTATGATTTACACGACAGTCTTGAAAAAATTTAGAATAGGATGTTGTTTGAAGACTACATGGATGGACTTGAAAATTTATTTTGATATTTTGTGAAAATAAAAAAAGAGATAAAACATGTAGGATGGACTTGAAGGTGTGTTGGTTGAGTCCAAGTTTTCAAAGTCCAATGTCAATCTCAAGTCTCTCTTATGTCTTGATTCCTTTGACAAAACAAAAATGTGAAGGTGAATATATTGGTGTCATTTGTTATACATATGAGATGCCTACATTCTGTCTAAATAAAAGGAAAATTTGAAAATCGTACATTTATATGGGATAATTTAATTTTATAACGCGAAACTAATTTATGAGTAATTATATAATAGTAATTAACGGTATATCCGATAATACTAATAATTTTCTATAAGGTTGCAAACCAAATATTTTACCCAAATGAAGTTTTTAGTACAAAAGTGTGTGAAAGGGGGGTGAAAAATACAAGGGATAAGGAATGGAGGTAGAGGAAAAATTATAATGTATTTGCTAATAATATATGTGAATTCAAAATCACTTTTAAGATCAAAATGAGAGAACTTTTTTGTTTATTTAACTTAGGAGGAAAAACCTGAAAATGACATATGTTGTTACAAACCTTGAAGAAGTTAAAAAAAAAAAATCACTTTAATCTAATTAACTCGACTGTCTCATGTCATCTGCATGTACATCAATGTTGCCATGTAGATAAATAACATGTCACATTGGCAAAAGTTTTAACTTTGAGGATATATGATTCTTTTTGTCCTTGAATTTGTAAATCATGCCCATTTAGTCTCTTAGAAAATAAATGGTTCTTATTTATTTTCTCTGTGTCAAATTATCATTATTGTCTTTTAATTCATCATCCGACAAATTTGTAATAGTTTTAATATTTAAGAACTAATTTGACACTTAGTTATATTTGTCAATGATCAATTTGACATTAATTAATTATAAAGTTGAAAGATAAAATTTTCATTAACTTGTATATTATTGATAATATAATCACACTTTGTTACAATTTTAATTTTTAAGGACTAAATTTCAATAGATTTATACTTTTAGAGACAAAAATAGTCATTTATACGAACTCGCAATACAATTTAACAGAGGACCAAACTAAGACATATCACTACAAGAAAAAACGCTATTAGCGACCGACAAAATCGGTCGCTAATGGGCAAAAATCGGTCACTATTGTGTTAGCGACCGAAATTAGCGACCAAAATGGTTGGTCGCAAAAGGGCAAGTCACTAATTTGTTAGCGATCGATTTACATTTCGGTCGCTAAATAGTGACTGATGAGGTGGTCGCTAAAGTGGTCGCTAAATAATTTGGTCACTTATGCATTGAAGACCAAAATAGTGACCGAAATAATATAATAAATCGGTCGCTAAATCGGTCGCTAAATCCATGGTAAAGTTTTAAAAAATAGCGACTGATATATTCGGTCGCTAATATATTAATATAATTATTTAAATAATAATTAAAATCGGTCGCTAAAATGGAGACAAAGTTAAAAATAATAGCGACGGATATAATCGGTCGCTAATATATTAATTGAATTATTTAAATAATAATTTAAATCGGTCGCTAAATATCGGTCGCTAAATTTGAATTGTATATTATAATAAATTTGTAGCGACCAAAAATTCGGTCGCTAATCTAACCAAATCTGAAAATTTTCGTTTAAAATTTTGTATATCCAATTTGACAAAATTTGTACCTGCTTAATTCATCCAAACATAACACAAATGAAAACTTAAGAACTAAAGTCAAATTTTGTATATCCAATTTTACAAAATTTGTACGTGCTTAATTCATCCAAACATAACACAAATGAAACTTAAGAACTTAACAACTACTCAAGATTCAAAGTCTTAATATCATAAAATTGAAAATTAGTCCTCTGGTATATTGTCGGTGTCATATTGACTTGTAGTAGGAATTTTATGAAGGAAGCCAAGATCTATTAATTATTCTATTATAATAATAATCCTAATTAATAATTGAAGGTCATTCTTTGAGGAAGCCAAGATCTGTCTGATTCTGGATCAATGAAGGTGTGACTCAAACTGCTCAGCTCCTTCATTCTTCAATTCTCTGGCCCATTTCACTCTTTGGGATGGACAGAAACCCGGTCCAGAACACCTGCACTCTTATCAAATTACTCCAAACTTGTTCAACTCAATAAACAACAATTTTATACACTTTATACCCTCTTTCACTTTGATGTTTTTATGAAATTATCAACAATTTTGCTGTCAGATCCATTGATTTAATGAGTATAAGAAGGTCTTGGTGATGATAACAATACTTCAGAATGGAGTTAGAAATGATTGCCTGTATTCATAGAAGCAAGAAGTTCTTTCATTTTCAACTTTGCCCCAATTATTCCACCCTGCAGGCTTTATACATTGATCCATGAAAGTGAATGCAAAAACCACTCTTGCAAAAGGTCTCCATGGTCTTCCCAGATATGCATATGAAGTTCCCCCATTACCTGTGACAACACATCTGCAATGACACCACAAACAAAACATCATGTAAGGAACCAAAATGTTCACAACATAATAAAAGTACTTTACTTGTGTAGTATCCTTTCTTGGACTCGAAGTTTAACAGATTAACACACCAAAGAAACACTCGTAAAGGGAGAGGAGCAAAATATTGACAAGGAAGCATAGAGTAGTATGAGATTCAAAGATTTTTATTCTAAGATTTCTTACAGGATTCCTGAATTCATTGAATTTTCAAGGGATCATTTCCCTAGCTTCAAGAGAATCTGGTTCTTGTTTTAACCTAGAATGTTTTTTTCTAATTAAATACTCCTAAATCCGTGTTAGCCATGCTTCTAAACATTTACAAACCAAACTGCAAAACTTAAAAGCAAGATCATCTTCAAAACCAGCATTCTCTCATTATCTTAATCAATTTTCATAAACATGACTCAGTCATGATGATAAACTTCAACCTAGGTACTTACTTGATTTCACATCGGAAGAACTAAGAGAGAACATATTTTGCCTTGGAATTGGAAAACAAAGTAAGAGTCACTAACACTGTTGTATTGTAGGGGAAACAAGATGATTGGGAAATGTCTCTTTCCTTGTTAAACAAGTTACAATGACTAAAAAAAAATATTATGTGGGAAGATGATGTTGTAAGTATTAGGCATGATCACACACCTCGAGGAATACATAACCAGTTTTTCCTGTGGAGAGTTTCGCTCTGTGCAGTTATAAACCTCGCGGACTTGCAATGGATGTGACAATGTTCCAAGAGTGCGAGTACTATTACAAAAAATGAAGTCCACACTCCCTTCAATGTAACAATCTTTCACGTATTGCTTTCCATAATGTAAGTACAGTGTGTCCTGTACTAATCACAAAATAAGTTTATTTATCACCTTGGTACCTCAGATTTTCCTCAAATGAAACAGAAGGATAATGGTGTACAAAACCATCTAGCCTAACAATCATGGCCTCTTGTTAATTGAAGATCTTATTATGTTTACGCAACACACACTATAAAGGATACATCATGCACACATAACTTTCTAAAATCAAACTCAGAATAAAAATATGAAGACAGTGAAGCACCTGCCACCCAAGGAACCTGCAATTATAGAAAGTACAACGATCTGCTGTTACTCTGAGTGCCACTGCCTGCCCTGCACCCTGCTAGGTAAAAGAGGGAAACAAAAGAACAGTGTGCACAAGGTCTCTACTAAAATTCCTTCATATTTTAAACATAACAGTGGTGTTCATATTTTAAACAAAACAAAACAAGTTCCCAAATTGGTCTGTCAAGCACCACCAAATCCGCAGTAAGAGGGATCTCGAAGAACCTATCTACTTCACAAATCCACCTACAACAAACCATAAAGAAATTTTGTCAAAATTATCTCTCCTATATTATTCACAATGCAAGAGAATAACATTATATACATTCAAACAAGTCAAACCTTGGTTGAGGGTGTCAGAGGCTACGGAGGAGGTTAAGAACAGAGGTGTGGCGCGGTGGCTCACAGGGTGGCGTCCGGTTGACGAGGAGCTTTGGTGGAAGTTGGATTAGGGTGAGGGCTGACTTGGGGGGAGCAGTGAGGGGGCTAGGGCTCGCCGGGAGTGAGGAGGAGATACTGGCCAAGGTTAAGAGGAATGAGTGAGTCAGGCACGAGAGTTAGGGTTATTTGGGGATAAGTGGCGCGAGAAATGAAAGTGAAAAATGTGGTAGTATATGATAGCGGTTAAATCTTAACCGCTATTATAATAGCACTTATAATAGCGGTTAAAATTTAACCGCTATTATATAGCACGTCTAATAGCGGTTAAATCTTAACATCTATTATATATTTTCAAATATGATCGATCATTTGAAAATGTAATCGATCATAACCAAAAAATGTGGATGTCGCTCGAGCGAGACAGTGTCGTTCAAGCGAAAAACCACCCGAGAAGGCCAATTTTGTGCAGGTGGTGTCGCTCGAGCGAGACCATTGTCCCTCAAGCGAAATACAACCCGAGAATGTCAATTTTGTGCAGGTCGCGTCGCTCGAGCGACCTTATTATCGCTTGAGCGAATGTTGACCTGCGTAAACGTCGATCAAAGTTAGCCGGATAATGTAACATGGGAGACCTCATGTTAGAATCGGATGTCGCTCGAGCGAGTATAGTGTCGCTCAAGCGAAATACAACCCGATCATTTATGATCGATCATAGTGACATAATTAAAACTTACATTAACTTGGAACCGCTATTATATTCACTCAATTATGATCGATCATTTCAAATTATGATCGATCATAATTAAAACTTACATTAACTATTTTTTTGAATATTATGTTTTTAAATTTGCTATTAGAGAAAACCTTTCAGAATTCAAAATGTTAAATACTTTTAAATATTAAAATTAACTTTATCAAAAATTAGGAAAAAAAATTAATCCAAAAGAGTTCAAAAATGTATTATAATATTCTCAATTTTGAGTTTAATTATATTGTTCATTCTCAAAGTAGAAAATTATATTGTAATTATTTTAATTTAATAAAATATAATTTAAATTTTTAATACTCAAATTAAAAGATTAAATAATAATGAATTTAATTCTTTAAATTGAGTATTTGGAAACTAAAATTATAGTTTCTCTGTTTTAAATAATTAAGATAAATAGTTAAAAATAGAAATCAAAACTAGTATTATCTTCAATTTATTAAAAGTGTAATTAAATCTCTATTTTCTTAATTTTTTTTGTTTCAAACTTCTCAATTCTACATTTTTGTAACTTCTATCATTATATTATCATCCTCATCTCTTCCCATGTTCAACTTTATCTTTACAATAGTTAATATTCTTAAATAATGTATATTTTTAATTATAATTTTTGAATATATATTTTAGAAATTAATCAATTCTAATCTATTATTTGAAAAACTAATCAATTCTAATCAATAATTTAGAAAACTAATCGATTATAATTAATTGTTTGAAAAAATTATCAAATATGATCGATCATTTTGAAGATCTGATCGATCAGAATCTCAAAATCTTGTTGTATATGATAGCGGTTCCACTGGAACGACTATTAAAAACCACTTCTAATAGCGGTTAAACCTTAACCGCTATCCAATATGGACTTAAGATAGCGGTTAACGTGGAACCGCTATTATATCCACTCAATTATGATCGATCATTTCAAATTATGATCGATCATAATTAAAACTTATATTAACTATTTTTTTGAATATTATGTTTTTAAATTTGCTATTAGAGAAAACCTTTCAGAATTCAAAATGTTAAATACTTTTAAATATTAAAATTAACTTTATCAAAAATTAGGAAAAAAAATTAATCCAAAAGAGTTCAAAAACGTATTATAATATTCTCAATTTTGAGTTTAATTATATTATTCATTCTCAAAGTAGAAAATTATATTGTAATTATTTTAATTTAATAAAATATAATTTAAATTTTTAATACTCAAATTAAAAGATTAAATAATAATGAATTTAATTCTTTAAATTGAGTATTTGGAAACTAAAATTATAGTTTCTCTGTTTTAAATAATTATGATAAATAGTTAAAAATAGAAATCAAAACTAGTATTATCTTCAATTTATTAAAAGTGTAATTAAATCTCTATTTTCTTAATTTTTTTTGTTTCAAAATTCTCAATTCTACATTTTTGTAACTTCTATCATTATATTATCATCCTCATCTCCTCCCATGTTCAACTTTATCTTTACAATAGTCAATATTCTTAAATAATTTATATTTTTAATTATAATTTTTTAGTATATATTTCAGAAATTAATCAATTCTAATCTATTATTTGAAAAACTAATCAATTCTAATCAATAATTTAGAAAATTAATCGATTATAATTAATTATTTGAAAAAATTATCAAATATGATCGATCATTTTGAAAATCTAATCGATCAGAATCAAAAAATCTGGTTGTATATGATAGCGGTTCCACTTGAACCGCTCTTAAAAGAGCACTTCTAATAGCGGTTAAACCTTAACCGCTATCTAACTATATTTTATTTATTTATTGATACATTTTTTCATCAGATATCGCTCGAGCGAGACTATAGTCGCTCAAGCGAAATACAACCCGAGAATGTCAATTTTGTGCAGGGGGCGTTTCGCTCGAGCGAGACCATTGTCGCTCAAGCGAAATACATTTTAGATAGTGGTTCCACAGGAACCGCTCTTAAAAGCGCACTTATAATAGCGGTTAACCCTTAACCGCTATCTAAATTATAATTTAGATAGCGGTTAACGTGGAACCGCTATCATATCTTCTCAATTATGATCTATCATTTCTAATTATAATTGATCATAATGAAAACTTACATTAACTATTTTTTTGAATATTATGTTTTTAAATTTGCTATTAGAGAAAACCTTTCAGAATTCAAAATGTTAAATACTTTTAAATATTAAAATTAACTTTATCAAAAATTAGGAAAAAAAATTAATCCACAAGAGTTCAAAAATGTATTATAATATTATCAATTTTGAGTTTAATTATATTGTTCATTCTCAAAGTAGAAAAATATATTGTAATTATTTTAATTTAATAAAATATAATTTAAATTTTTAATACTAAAATTAAAAGATTTCTGTTGCATGAGGTTTCTTCACTTAAAAGATTTTGCAAAATGCCTCTAAAAATGTTTTTAACAATTAAAAACAAAGTATTTTGACAAAAGCTTTCTCAAACAAGTTTTTAACTCGATACAGATTTGATAGAACCGATTAAAATTACTTAAAATGTCAAGTGAAATGTTTTTACAATATTTTAATCGATACAACTTGATTTTAATCGATTAAAACCACTTAAGGGTTCAGGACGATCGATCAGAATGCAATTATGACCGATCAGAATCAGTTATGATCGATCAGAATTTAGTTATGACTGATCAGAACTATTTTAATCGATTAAATCTCGTTTCAATCGATTAAAACAACTTAAAAATTTCTATACAGCGTTTTAATCGATTAAAACTTATTTTTATCAGTTAAAATAACTTGAAAAGTTTTACAAGAAAGTTTTGCAGTATTTCAATCGATTGAATCGCGAAACAATCGATTAAATCAACTTAGAAGATTTTTTGTAAAGTGTTTTAATTGATATAAACGTTGTAGTATCAGTTAAAACAAATCTGTTAAAGAATCAAGAACGTATTAATGGATTAAAAGAAGTTTTAACAGATTAAAACTGTACTTTTAACAGATTAAAAGAATCTTTTAACAGATTAATTAAACCAGCAGTTTTAAAAATCTTCTATAAAAACAGTTTGGCTTGAACTTTTTTAACATACATTAAATATCATCTTTTACACATCCTTGAGCAATCAATCAAGCAAACTTCAGCACTTTTTTTAAGAAAGATTCGCATCAGTTTTTGAGAAGTTCTTTGAAAATCTTTCTTGAGGCAACTTGATTTCTTTTGAAGAAGAAACACTTACAGCAGAATTGCATAAACTGGTTTGAGCATTCTAGTTTCTTCTTTTTCATTTCTTTACATTCTTTTTGTATTGTTTGGTGCCTGGAATTTGGGCACTAGTTTCTCTGCATCTGGAATTTGGTTGTAGAGGTTATTAAGAGCTGAAATTTGGTAATACGAGAAAACATTTCAGAAAGCAAAATGTTAAATACTTTTAAATATTAAAATTGACTTTATAAAAAATTAGGAAAAAAAAATTAATCAAAAAGAGTTCAAAAATGTATTATAATATTTTTCAGTTTTAGTTTAATTATATTTTTCATTCTCAAAGTAGAAAAATATATTGTAATATTATTTTAATTTAATAAAATATCATTTAAATTTTTAATACTAAAATTAAAAGATTAAATAATAATAAATTTAATTCTTTAAATTTAGTATTTAGAAACTAAAATTATAGTTTCTCTGTTTTAAAAAATTAAAATAAATATAAAAAAATAAAATCAAAACTATTATTATGTTAAATTTATTAAAAGTATAATTAAATCTCTATTTTCTTCAATTTTTTAATATAAATTTTTAAAATATAATTTAATTTCAATTGAAATTTTCAATTGAAAAATAAATTCAAGAATATTTGTTATTAAACTTTTCTTAAACAATGTATTGAATAGTTAACATCACTCTAGTCTTAATTTATTACAATTTAAATTTTTAATAAATTTGATTTATTACAATTCATTTTGTTAATATTGAGACCAAAGTTTATTTTTAAAGTATATTTTAAAAATTAAAATATTTTTAAAAAATAAATTACTTTTAAAAAATAAATTGTAAAAAATAAACTAAAACAATTAAAGTATATTTATAAAAAAAATTAAATATAATAAAAAAATAATATTCATTAGCGACCGATTTCAATTCAGATCGCTATTTTCTCATTAGCGATCGATTTTAATTCGGTCACTATTTCAATTTGTAATTCGGTCGCTAAATCGAGTCGCTAAATGATTTTTTTATTTTAGTATGAAAATAGCCACCGATTTAGCGATCGAAATTTTGCGACGCAAAATATTGGTCGCTAAATAAAAAAGTGCAAAATAAATCATATTTTGGTCGCTAAATCGATCGCTAATTGCAACCGAATTAAAGTGGTCGCTGAATCGGTCGCTAATTGCGATCGAATTAAAGTGGTCGCTAAATCGGTCGCTAATTGCGACCAAAATTAAATCGGTCGCTAAAGCCGTCGCTAATTGCGACCGAAAAAATTCGTTTGTTAATTTCGGTGACTAAATGTGTTTTTTCTTGTAGTGTATGTAGCACTTTTAGAGATATTTTTCTATTTCTTGAAATAAATTTTATAGTATTTCACACTTTTAAGAATTAAATTTTCGTTTTACCCAAATAATTATATAACTTTTTTAATGTAGAATTCGAAGTGTTTAATTATTTTCTCCCTTTAAAATAAATCCTTTGTTCAAAATATTTGGTCAAACATGACTGTTACCTTAATAGCAAAAGTCTCATAAGCATGATGTATATAATACGAGAGGATTAATAGGTTGTTTCAGAAAAAAAAAAAAAAAACGTTGAAAATCAACTTCAGTCAAAACAATTTGTTACAAATCATTAAAAGTATAATAACTCATTAAAGTACATTTGGATAAGAAGAATGCACCTATGTAGAAAATAATACAAATTATAACCTTTTGAAATATAATTCATTTTTCATTAATACTCATATAATATATTGTATTAATATTGTAAAAAAATCTGCAGTATTATCAAAACAAAGTCAATTTTATATATTGTGAAAAATCAATTATTTTAAAAATTATTTATTTTTAAATTTAATTATGTTAAAATTTAAATGGATCACACTCTAAATAATAATATAATAGTAATCATTATTATATAAAATTTTAAAAGAATATTTATCATTAAAATAACATTTGAAAAAAATAAAAAATATTTTAAAAAACTTTAACAACGAGGGTAAAGCGCATTACAGGTATAACTTTTATATATTAATTTTCATACTTACATTGACAAAAATCACTAATGTAATTATTGTAATAGTGAACAATATTATTACTATGCACATCAATCTGAAAAATATAAAATTGGGTGATAATATAATTTTAATTATGGTTTAATTCTCACAATTTCATAAATTGGCTATTTGAAAAATATGTTAAATTAAATTTCCAAACGGTAAGACAATTTAATATATACTTTATATAATTAGATTGAATTTAATTTGATATTTGAATCAAATTGACTATGTTAAAGATAATTCTCTTAACATTAATTTTAATTAATTTTTAACGGATTCACTTGATTGATTAAAAACTAATTTTGTAAAAAGTGTTTGACCTTTTGAAAAGTATATATGACAATATGCAATAATATGTTAATTATTTTGTATTTGGAACAGCAACATCTATGAATGAAAACAGCATTTCACACATTATTTTAATTTTTAAGAAAATTGTTAAACTATATAAAAAATTGTTATACGTTATCCGTATAAACTCTTGTATAATAGTGTAAGTTGAAAGTTATTTTTAAATAACTTTTCAACCATACTTATAGTAAATGGTGATAAAAGATAGGTACGATAAGCATTAACATAAATACTAGCACAAATTTAACATATTATTTATTATTTGTAGTGAAATGTATAAAATAATAACTCGTATAGTCGCACTCTCCTTTATATAATAGTTCTCGGGTTATTAAATTAAATATATTATAATTTAATGGTGAAAAAAAGACATACATTTTTAATCCTATTATAGATTTTTGCTCCATTAATGGGTATAGTTTAACCTATTTACAGGCACATTTTCCCATCAATTAAACATTTTTGTTACTGCACCGTATATATGTTAAGATAGTATTAATTCATATTAAAGACCACACGAAATGATTTTCCAAACTCACAATTTTCTCAAAAGGCACAAAAATCACATCAACAAAATTAGATTGATCGAAAAAAAAAAAAAAAGATTCATTGAATAATTGAAGAAACTGATTTAAAAACAGTTATATTAAAACAAGCATGCAGAACACATCTTTTCATTCAAAGAAAAAGAAGCGAACAGATGCTTCTATTCCATCCATAACACCAGAACAATGTAATCTATAACACTTCCGTAAGATTAATAGAACAAAACAGAAAGAAAAACAAGGTGTAGTCAGAGAGATTTTCATTTCGTTCAATTATTTATGGCCTGTAGAATCCCATGTTGTCCATTTCACATCATTCACCACCCACGGATTCCGAAACTAGCAGAGTTGAATATTGACAAGTCGCCACCCGTATTGGAGTTACTAGGGTTACTGTTATAAGTTTTGTTGATGTGGTTGTTGATGTTATCGTCCTCGTTACTTTCTTGGCCTGTGGGTACATATTTGTAAATTTCAGGGTTCTTGTAGGTAGAGATGGTCAAGCTGACATCGTCACCGGCAACGACTCTACCGCCAATGGGGCCACCGAAGATTCGGCCATGAGAGGTGGAGAGGTGGATCCCGAAGGACAAGGAACGGGGAGTGGTGGCTCCGGGGAGAAGGGTGTATTCGTTGTTGTATAAGAAGGAGCCGGTGAGGGAGAGCAAGTTGAAGGGGCCATGAAGCATGAGAGAGGGGGAACCAGTGGGGGTATTGCGGAGGATCACAGAGGCGATGGTACCGGAGGCACTGAGAATGGTGAGGCTGACATGGTTTTGCTGAGCGATGTCGAGAATTGTCTCCATGATGTCACGTCCTGGAGCCACGTTAACGATGACAATCTTCATGGAGGGCTGAGCCATGGTGTACTTGGGCTTGTTCTTTGAGCCTGGGGGCCTACCACGTGGCTTCTTGGAGGGTGGGGTGGCAAGAGGGAGATTCTGCCAGAGTTGGTTTGTGGGAAGTGGTGGCAGTGATGGATGGCGGTAATGGGGGGAGGAGCTAGGGTGGTGGTCCCAAGAGGATGCAGAATCTGAGTCGGTAGAGATGGAGATTTGGGAGAGGGAGATTGCCATGGAGTTGTTGTTTGTCATTCTGCCAAAAGAAGTGTTTGGACAAAGAGAGGGGAAAGATAGATAGATGAAAGGGCTTTGAGGGGGAAATTTAAAGAGTGTAAGAGACTTGGTTGTGATGCTTTGAAGCTTTGTTTCTGGGTGAATTTATAGTGTTAGGGATGGTGTGACTTCTCTCATGTGTTGAAAAGATAAGAAATCAAGGGACTTGTTAGGAAGGTTTCAACTAAAGAATAAGGGGATAATAGTCTGGCGGCTTTTGCAAGTGAGGTTTCATTTATGCTTAATGAAACAATTTTTTTTTATAAGGTTAGGTAATTTTATTTTCAAAATAAAGAATATTTTGAACCTTGAATAAAATAATTTTATTTTGAAATTGTTATAAATACAACTTTTTATGATTTCGGTTCAAATATATTTTTTACTTTATTAGAATTACATTCGAGGTGTTGTTATTTCGGAATATCATCATTCTTAATATTAATTATGGAATTGATTCATAGCATAAATTAATATTTATTTTCTAATGTCTAATAATAATAATAATAATAATAAAAAGAAAACATAAGTAAACAATACGTAAATAAAACACAAGACATATACATGAGCTTATATTGTCATGAGATAAAAAAATCATAAAAATTTTATAAGAAAAAAATATTAAGAAGTTAGAAAAACTAATATATAAAGGAAGAAAAAAAAGTCCAATTAGAATTGTTAAACCATTGTGCTATTAGTAATTGAATATGATCACTCTCGATCTCTTGAAATTGACAATTTAATCCTGAAAAACATCTTAGTTATTTTTAATATAAAAATATAATAATCAAATTAATTTAAATAAAACTTAATATAATTTTTTAAAACATAATAACATAGATTTTAATTCCAATTTTATTTAAATTTAATAATTAAACTTATATAAATTTAATTTAATTAAAATTTAATTTAAAATAATTTAAAAATTAAACCAAATTAATTTAATTAATTAGATATGTATATACTTCTAATCAAAATGAATTAAAATTTGAGAAATGGTGGATTCACATATATTTTTTGAGATTTATTTAATTAGATAAGAGTCAAGAGATAAACATTGTTCATTATATATAAAAAAAGTATAGATTATTCGAAGTTAGTTAAAAGGTTTAGAAATGTAATATTGAATATATGACGTAACTTTTGAATTTTATATCAGATTTTATATTATTTGACATAAAAAAATCTCTTTTATTTTTCTAGAGTTTCTTTTACGTTATGCGCATGCAAGAATTTGTTTCTTTGAACGACTATCAGAGTGATTACAAGGCACACGCACCTCTGAGAGTGTTTTCGGATAACAAAGAAAGGCGGCGACATCCACGATACGATTCATTCCTGGTGGTTCATGTTTCTCTTGGACGTTTTTTGTGTGATCGGTTATATATGTTTTTTATTAGAATTGTGATTGTTTTCGAATATTTCGATCATGATCATTCCATTATATTGTTATTATTGAAATTGAATCCATATTTGTTTTATTATCCTTTTATTCAATAATCATGCTCTTTTATTTTTAATTTTTGAAATTAATTATTAGAATTTAAAATTTATATTTTGTACTATATGAATTTTAAGATGTGTTTTAGTCTCTAGAAGTGACTAAATTATTTAGTTATTAGTTTTTTAAAATTTTAGAGATTTATAGACATTTAGAGTTTGTAGAAACTATAGCGATAAGTTTAGTTGATGATGATTAAATTTGTAACCTAGGGTAGTTATGGACCAATGTTGGTAATGATAAAATTTGTATAGTTGATGGAGATTAAATATGTAACGTAGGTAGTAAAGAGTACATAAAGAGAGTTATGGAGTTCTTTTATTTTGCTCGTAAAAATAGAAAAGATATCAAACGGGCATATTATTATTTATATGTTTGTTGTTTGAATTAAATATGTTAGGAGCTCGGGGATATATATGATCACCTTTTTGTCTTTGATATTTTTAAGACTTATACAATATGAATGACATAAAGAAATATTAGACATTTCACCTATTTCAACAACAACAAAATTTTGAATAAGAGATGAACGATAATTTAGAGGAGATGATACGTAATGTTAGGAAAGAAATTTTTGGACGAGTAATGTGTATGATTATTTTAAGTTTGTTTTTGAGCAACAATTGTACCCATGATGTAGTAACTTTACAAAATTAACAATAATTATAAGATTGTTTAGTTTAAAAGCAAACAATAGATAAACTAACAGAAGTTTCACATAATTGTTGGAGTTATCGAAGGAAATGCTTATATAAAATAACACATTACATAATTGTAACTATGAGGCAAAGAAGATTCTATGTCCAATGGGTTTGGAGTATAAGATGCATGCATGTCCTAATGATTGCATATTGTATAAAAATGATTTGCTACATTAAATGTGTGTCTTACATGTGGATTATCACAATTAAAAAAAAAACTAATGCAAGTAGTGGCGAGGAAGAAGCAGTTGATCCCCTTAATAAGGTATTATGGTACTTTCTAGTAATACCTAGGTTTAAAAGATTGTTTGTCATAAAAGAGGATGCAAAAAATCTGACTTGGCATGTGAATGGTAGAAAATGTGACAAAATTCTTCAACATCTAGTTGCTTCTTCATAATGGGAGAGGATTGATGAAACATTTCTAGAATTTGGCTCAAAGTCAAGAAACTTGAGAATTGGACTAGCTACAAATGACATGAATGCTTATGTGAACTTAAGTAGTAAACATAGTTCATGATTAGTTTTATTGGTCATTTGTAACCTGTCTCTTTGGCTATGCATGAAGAGAAAATATATTATGTTTTATATGATGATTTCAGGACCCCAACAACCAGGAAATGACATAAATGTGTATCTCAGTCCTTTGATTGATGAATTGAAGATGTTGTAGGAAATAGGAGTGGAGTTCTTAGATGCATACCATGAAGACAATTTTAGGTTGCGTGCAATGTTGTTTTGCACATAAATGAATTTTCAGCATATGGTAACTTGGAGAACTATAGTGCAAATGATCATTATGTGTTCCCTATATGTGAAGAAAACACAATTTATGCCCAATTGAAACATGGGCAAAAGATTGCGTACACTAGGTTATATTGTAGATTGAAGAAAACATTTAATGGATGTCAAGAGGATGAAGTTGTATTAGCATTGCACAATGGTGACCAAGTATATGAGTGGCTGAAGAACATTAACATTGTGTTTGGAAAGACGCAAAAGAAGTTCAATGAGAAGAACATCTGGAAGAAACGATCAATATTCTTTAATCTTCCTTATTAATGCAAGCTAGATGTTAAACATTATATAGATGTGATGCATGTGGAGAAAAATGTTTGTGATAGTGTCATTGGAATATTGCTCAGCCTAAAAAAGAAGACAAAAGATGGAGTGAAAATACGACTAGATTTGGTGGACATGGATATACGTTCCAAGTTACATCCCCAATCTGTTGGAGAACATACTTGCCTCTAGCTTGTCATACTCTATCAAAGAAAGAAAATAAAAACTTTTGTAAGTGCTTATGCGGTGTGAAAGTATGATAGGGGCACTCTTCAAATGTTAAGAGTTTGGTGTTTATGCAAGAATTGAAGTTAGTTGGTTTAAAATCTCACAATTGTCATGTATTAATGTGACAACTTTTACATGTAAATATTCAAAACATCTTACTATCTTATGCTAAAGTTGTTATTACTCAGTTTTTTTTTTTTGTTCTTCAATGTCATTTACAAGAAAATAATATAACCTCACAAATGAGTTTGAAAATAAAGCAATCACAATCTTATGTTAGTTCGAAAAGTATTTTCCACCTTCACTTTTTTATATCATGGTGCAATTGATAGTTTATTTGGTCAAGGAAATTTGATAATGTGGTATGATTTATCTTAGATGGATAAACCCTATTGAGAGATACGCGAAGATCTTAAAAGGATATGTGAAGAATCAATACCAACTAGAAGCTTTTCTTGGGAAGAGGTACATTGTAAATGAAGCATTGAGTTTTGTTCAAGGTACATGTTAACATCAAAACCAATAGGAATTCCTAAGAGTTAACATGACGGAAGATGTGAACATAAGAGTGCTCGAAATTTAAAGATTAAAAATGTAAGTAAAAAAAGAGTTGACCAAACACATTTGCATATATTTGTTAAACATACAAGGATATGAAACTTGAAGATTTTGATGATGATTTAAGAACAAAGTACTTAGAGACTTGAAGACTTATAATCATGTGTATTTACTTGTAATAACTCTGTTTTATGTTTTTGAGTCTATAAAATTAGAGTTCAAGATAGCCAGCACATAGTCCATCATCTGAAAACTCATTTTTATCAAATCCACTCTGTGATAATCGATTATCACTCAGGATAATCGATTATCTTGCACTGAAAATCATTTTTCTGAAAAGCTTGTTGTAATAATCGATTATCACTCAGGATAATCGATTATTCCAGCCAGATAATCGATTATTCCAGGCAGATAATCGATTATTTACACAAATAATCGATTATCCTGATCCTGTTTTACTCCTCTGCGAAAATGGCTCTGTAATAATCGATTATCACTCAAGATAATCGATTATCTACGTCTGTTATGAGTTTTGAAATTCAAATTTGGACCAATTTACGAAAACCCTATTCCCAATTCTTATGTTTTTGAAATCATCATTTCCTTGACCTTATTCTCTCTACTTAAGGTTCTCTAAGACTCTCTGCAAAATAACAAACCTTTTTCATACAAAACTTAAGAGCTGTGACTGCCAGTGAACTTTCTATAGGGAAGAAAAAGGGGTTTTTGAAAACCTAATGTGGGCTAGAAGCAATAAGAATCACTGAGTGGGTTTCTTGGTGGATTGTATGTTGTGCCGTCTCTAGGAAAAGCTGTTGTTCATCCTTTGTGGATTCAAAGGAGGTGTTCATCTCTTGTGTGACTCAAGAGAAGTGTTTTCTATTCCTTAACTTTTTCAATTTGTAATCTTTTGT